CAAGAATGAGGACGTGGGGCTCACACGACAGCGTGGCGGCGATGGCCGCGGCCTTCTTGTCGAACTCCCGCTTCGCGGCCGGGAGGGGTGGCCACCGGGATGCCTGCGTTCCTGCTCGCGCAGGGAGCAGCAGCCGCGGCCGTGGTGGCGGTACCCGGGGGCGGGGTCCCGCACGAGAAAAATATTGCTCGGGGTCTTCTCCAAGATGGCGCTGTAGGCTTTGATGCGGCCCTTGGCGTGCCGTGCCTTCCCCGAGCCGTCGTCGACCGAAGTCGTCTCTCCCGCCGCTGCTTCTCCCCTCTCCACACCGCCGCCGATGTGTCATCATCACCAGCTCTAGTGTGGTGCTCCTGCCGCCGTCCTCCTCCGACACCCCTACCGCCGCCATTCCGCGGGGCCGCCCGGAGGGGAAGACCCTGGCCAGCTCTTACCTTCCGGATGCGGGCCTCCTCGTCGGCCATCACGAATCGGAGGGAGCTGCTCTCTTGTCGCTAAGCCTGGGCCGGAGCTCGGGGGTAGGGTCGAAGGCCCCCTCTACATCCCATCCCTCTTCCACGTCCAACTACTCCGCCGCCTCCTCTTATAGGATGGATGCGACCACCGCCGCCACCGCGCTCACCGGTCCATCACCTTCACCTACCGGGGTGGTGGGGGACAAGCGGTAGCCGTAGCTCAGTGGTGGCAGTCACCTCCGCCTTCTGCTGCTGCCTGGCTGAGAGAGGCGGGGCTTCCGGGGCGCTGTTGGTCATTAGCAGCCATCGAGTTTGCCGCGGCCTCCGCCAGCGTGCCATTCACCGTGGAAGGGCTCTCCCGCAGCGCACGGGCGGCCGACGCTATGCCATCCGCGAGCCGTTTAGCCTCCTCCGACAGGTTGTGGGCTTCACTGGGGGCGGCGACTGGATTGGGGGTACCGATCGTGTTTCTGTAGACTTCCGCATGGCCATGGAATTGAGTTAGCCGGGCGTTCTGTTCGAGACTTGGCATGGCAAGGCTTGTGCTTGTGCACGACGTTCTTAGTTATAGATGGAACCACCATGTGATACGTAGATGCCTCGCTTTCATCTCGGTACAGCAACGTCGAGAATATTTTGGGACGGGACACGGGGTCGAGAGTGCCATCGAAAAAATAAAATTCCACACAAGTGCTGCTGACAGAACCAGGGGGGTGGGGTTTTCTGTCTGCTGGACCCCGTCTCGAACTCGCAAATAAATGCGAAAGGTTGAGGGAGGAGAAGAGGGAAGGGTCGAACTCTCTGTGTTGACTGTGTCTTAGCAACTAAGTACTTCGTGTGTGTTCAGTTTGAGCGCACCTGATATGGGATGCCAAAACAATGAATGCTGATTGAGCTACATATTGTTCTCTCTGCCTCTCTCTCTCTCTCTGGTTCACCCGTGCCACGAGATCATTCGCCCGCTGCACGAACTCGCGGTCGTCATCGCTCACCTCGAACTTGGCCGGAAGGCAATGCCAGAATAGCTCTCATCTCCACGAGGTCGTACGATAAATGGACAACAAAATCCACGACGACCAAGAAGCATGAAGAACAGCCCTCTACTACTATCGCTTTCGAGCATGTTCGAAGTCGAGCATGTTCAAAGTCTTCGAGATACAACAGACGGGAAGGGACTGAGGATCAAAGGATACTGTGTTCAGGGCATTCAAACAAGCACACAGCAGTTGGCAGAACTTGTATGCATGCACACTCTTTGCGATGTTGCGTGTGCATCTCCATCTGGAACGAAGAGGTTAGTCCACCACCTACCTCTACCCCTTCCTTGGGCGACGGGTTCAAAGGCGATTGTACGGTAGAGAACGGAAGTCCTTCAAGACGACGCTATGAGTGGTATGAGGCCCAACAAGGAAGAACGGACTCACTCGCTTTTCGTTTCCGCTCGCCCTCCCCGTATGCAAGACACGATGCCGCGATGCAAGTCAACATAAGATACATCATGATGCGAGTGAAGTGACCCGGATCCCCCCTTCAAGGCGGTAACTACGGTGCGTCATTCACACTTTGTCGATGTTGGTCAAGCAGTGGGCGTGGTCTCCCTGAAGGAAGTTGAACCTAGGGATGCCGTCCGGGTGCATGACTTCCCACTGGAGGAGGCGGTTGTCCTGCAGCAGGGGGTTGGGGGTTGAC